TTAATAATTTTTATTTTATTTTTTTATCTTTATGCAATGATATAACATACTATTATTCAATTTTTAACTTTATTATCTCAAAACTTGATTTTTAAGTGTGACGTTCCGTGTCATATCCGTAATATAAATAACTTGGAAACATAGTTTCGTTCTAAAATTATAAAAAGCGAAGGTTCAGCGATCTTCAAACAATCTTTGTTTCTTGTTATAAGAAACGAAAGTATGTTTTTAGGGCTATCTTAGACATTTAGTTATTAAGATATTTTAAATAAAAAATAAACGTTGTAACACGGATTGATATAGAAAAAAATGTTATGACCAAAAAATTACACACCTTAGTAATAGTTGAAAAATCGAAAAAAAAAAAAAAATATTTCGATGGTTCAAATATTTCGGATTTATGTGAACTACCGATTGTCATCTGTATTTATACTCATTATAGGGAAAATCATAATTTTTCGACGTAAAAATAAAAACTTTGGTTAGATTTGTAAGATTAGTGCTTTTTTACCATGAAAATAAAATGTATTACGCTTTATCGGTAATGCTACAAACTCCGATACTCCTGGTCCCACTTCACCACCCTGCTGTAAGGCTACATCGAACCTCCTTAATCTGATTTCCATAGGGAGACATTGAGTAAGTTATTTCTTATACATAGAAACAGATCAGAAAAGTTTATTCTCATTGTTAAACATTATGTAACCATTGGTATTTTAAAGCAAAATATAGTCTCATATTATAGGCATGTGGTTGATTAAAAATTTTTTTTCCAGTTTATCGTTTGATCTACGTATTGTGTGAAAAGAAATTAACATTTTTTATATAAAATAGTTTTAAATTACATCTTATTATAAAAAGACTAATTTTCTTCTTTAACTAATCAACAACAATTTCAATATTTTTGATTTATTTGCAAAAACATTATATTTATTTCAAAAAATGCAAATATAAAGAAGAAAAAAATTGAAAAATCTTATTAATAAATGCATTATCTACTATAATTACAACGTTTTTTAGCAAATAGAAGATAATGAAATTGTAGGTATTAGGTTCAAGAAGAAAAGTAGACTTTATATACCACAGTCAGATAAAAATTAAAAATATTTAAATACAAATGGTGTTATTTGATGATTTACATAAAACGTTAATGAGTAAATAACAAAATTTGAAAAAAAAGTTTTTTATTTGACTTTGGTAACTGACTGTATTAAAAAACAAGAATTCTTAAGATTATATCTTGTTTAACAAACGTTACTTATTTGTATGATACATATCGATTGTTACGTACGATAGCATACAGCTAAGCGTCTGTGCGCCCCTTTCGGCCTGGGCTCTATAAAGTAGGAGAATAGAGAAAAGAAGCTAAAGGGGAAGAAGATCAGGGGACAGCTAGTTGGAGATATTAGCTAGAGACACAAGAGCGAGGAAACCTGATCCATAAGAGCAAAACACGCAGTACTTCTCTCACAGATAAGAAGTTCTTGTAATGTAACTTAGCCGCAAACTATGCCTTTATTTATTTACGAATCGAGAAACCCTCGTAACATGCTATATCAGTTGACGATTACCTTACCTATGAAAAATGATTACGTAACAGATAATTCTAATTTGATAAAATGACTCACACCAATAGAATTTTAATTAAACAACAGCAGTTGTACACTTGTATTAAAATAGGCAAATCCACATTAAATTTTGTTAAATTAAGATTTTTGTGTAAAAAAAATACGTAAAAATTCTTACTACACCTAAAAGTAAGCGCCTGGAGTCATGATTTATTATAACTAATACATTTTTATCGAATATAACTCTCAAAATAAAGAATTCTGGAAGACGAAAATTGTCGGAACTAATAACTATTACAGAAACTAAGTAATATTACTAAGTGTCTAGACATTATCAGTAGTGTGCAGCTCGTAATTCTGTATTCACCCTAAACTTCTGTACTTTTCGGTCATTTTTGCTATGTAACACTCTAAATTAATTATTCCGGATGACAAAAATTGTCGAAACTCATACTATTATCTGTACCTAATAATATCAGTGGCGTGCAGCTTGTGATATCAGATTTATTTAAAATGTAGCTATTTTTCAGTCTTTTATTTTAATAATAAATTCAATAAATAATAAGTTTTGGCTAAAAAAAAAGATTATTTAAACAAACCGCTCCTAGTTTATGTACAACAACTTATTTAAATTCAAACGCTAGTCACAGTCCGTGTTTTCCCCCATGCGCACTGCAACCGGTCAGTCACCTAGTCGCAAGAGAGGGGTACAGATGGGAGCGCTGAGCTGCCGTCGGTTGTTACAATGCGATATTCTTAATTTTGTTTTAGCTTTCCTTTCATTAAAGTTGATAAAGTGATCTGGTAGTATGATGCAGATGTACATGAAAATGATACAAAAATTTTTTCGCAATAAAAAACCTAAATAGTTAGTCCGTTATTGCAAAAAACGTCTATTTCTTATATCTCAGCTTCAGAGTAAGCTAGATCATTCTTTTTATAAAAAATTTTTTTTTTTTTTTTAATGACAAATACAATGCCGTTTGTTGCAAATAAAGATATGCAAAATACAATTTTTTACGAAAAAACTTCAAAATTGACAAAAATCTAATTTTTCTTCTTCGTTATCATTACATATATCAAATACAACGTTTTTACTCAAACGAAATGTCGATAAACCATCAGTGATGTTTGTAATAACACTTCAAAGTTTTACTTTAGAAAATTAATTAACAGAAAACTAATAATTACTTGCAATTTTACAAATAGCTTTTTGTTGTACAAAATAATATCTATATTTTTTGCGATGACATTCAAATTGACAAGATAGTTTTTTACTAAGACGATCGAAAGGTTTTGGGTATAAAAAATTTTTTTTCGCGCTTTTCCGCCCTTAACACGTTAACAATTAATAATGTATTTGCAACAGTATCTATTTCATATGAAAATTGGTGACAAAGAGATTGGTAGTAGACAGGTTTTCTAAGAGCAATAAAAACGGAGATACAAGCAAAAACGTAAATAAAAAATTGGCATAAATAATTTTTTTTTTAAATTGTTGATTAACAAATAAAGCCGGCGGTTGATTTGGACAAAACTATTTTTCCCGTATTCCTGGGAAAATTCTGCAGGGGAATGACTAATTTTTTCTTAACTGGAAAACATAAGATTAAGGTGGTACTTTCATGAAATAATTATGAATAGAATGGCATGAAATTTTGAGGAATCATTTATTGAGTTACAATACACTACCTCTCAAAATTTCGAAATAGGCTGAGGAATATAAACGCGAGAAAATAATAAATGAAAATTTAATTTTAAACATGTGCTCTCATGGAAACTAAGAACTTTTGACTGAAAGTTGTAGCCTAGCTATTTATTTATTGAACGCAACTAAGTAAAAAACTGACACAATAAAGCTTATGTTATTCCGAATAAAAGAATCACAGACATACATTTTAGTTTCCTATGTTGAAAGCAGGGGTATGCCTTCACGGCTTGTATTTTGAAGATAAGCGCGAATTTTAGATAGTCATTCCTACGAACTTCTATTTCGTATATTATGATCTAAAATTTGGAATCAGTACTTAATTTGCCTCAATAAACAGTATTAACAAATAATCGTTTAAAATTTAAGCAGCATTAATAAATATCAACTTGTCAGTCGCACCATTGACTGGGGAGTCATGAAAGAACCACCTTAAATCGTTTTTTTTTGTCTCTGGGCAATGGACTAATAGACATTAAGTCCTATCCCTGTTGTTGCGGTCTAATAAAAACCAATATAATTTTACAATAGGATTTTTCTATTGGTTTGTTATCGGTATTTGCACCCATAAATCAAGATAAAATTTGTAATGGTCGATAATGGATTTTTAATGTAACCAAGACATCATTGAACAAAAATAATCACACAAATTCATGTTCTACCATCCGGATGGCAACACCAAATCAGAGGGACTAACGTATTTTTTACAAATTTCTAAAAAAAATTAATAACCAACTTTACTTTCAATCAACGTATACAATACATTAATCCCCCCATTTTGAGGTTGCCATCTACATGGTAGGACATAATTTTGTCAATTTATTTATTTTCAATCATGTCTTACTTAGATACAATAAATGATACATAAAATTTATTTTTGACCATTTCAGATTTTATTTGGATTAACGGGTGCAAATACCGATAAGAAACCAATAGAAAAATCTCATTAGTTTATATTGGACCGCAACAACAGGGATGGTAACCATCTCTACTTTCATCACTCTATATTTTAGAACAAAAATGCCAGCTTATCTGAGTTATTGATATTATTAAATAACTTAAGACTCTGTACATAATTCATTAATGGTTAGTTTTTATTTCAATCACCCAGACATTACATTACTCAGCTATAAGAGGTTAAGTTAAACAATTTGTAATGCACTTTGATTTCTATTTAACAGTTCCACTATTTGATACGACAAATTGGAATATATTCGATAAATTATCATTAGCAGAGAAGTATTAAAAAGGGTGATAGTGCAATCATAGAGAGTATACTATTTAAAATTACAAATAAATAATCAAAATAATGCAGAAAAATATTGCATTTATATTAATCAAAAGGTACACAAATATAAAAAAAAAAACTTTTTTTGGCACAGTATCAACAATTTAAAAAATGAAAAAAATGATACAAAACACAATAAAAGTGATCAATATTTGTTTATAAAATCATGCCCATACAGCAATGAACATGTTTCACGTACAACGGTTCAAAACGCAAGTCAGCTATGCCTTTATGGATGATACCATGTAGCATTATGTGCTACTAAATTTGAATACTAAGATGGGAAAACTTACTTGTAATTGTCCATACTCATAAAAATCTAAATTAATGATAAAAAATCACATTATCTTTATTCATTTGTTGATATCACTGCTGCAATAGTTAACATTTAATACCAAAAAAATTACAGTAGTGCAATAATTTACAAAAAGTTTACCTATAAAAATTTTCAGATCCACCAATAGCCACAAGGCAATACGAATTTGTGAGTTTAGAAAAAACTCCTATTTCGTTATTATTTTCAAATTGAAGACGTACAGCCATGACTTAGGTAAGATTTTTTTAACTGCAGAAACGAGACGTTGAACTAATTTAAGTGTTAATAAAAAACAGTTTTAACTTGTTCGTGTGCGAGACATCAACATTCTACAGTTGCTAAGAGTTCAGATGTAGTAATAGATCTCTCCAGTTAACAAGAGACGAATTACGTTCCTCAAGAAACTAAACACCCGCGTCTATTGTGGGGTAGTGAATGGAGGCACAATATATCAGAGATCATAAGCATATAAGAAATAAAGACTGTTCGTTCTTATGTGCGGCGCTGAAGATAAAATACAAGTAGGAGGCACAAAATCAAACGTTGGCAACTGTCTCCCTCGCACGTTCCAACCTTTGGCAATCGTCGTACACAAGAAAGAGCAGTCTATGTTCCTTATATGTTTATATCAGGACCGACAGAGCAAAGCAGCGAACACTCGTCTGCATAAAAGAACGAAGGATTAAGGCCATTTAGGGTGAATTTAGACTGGTTGCGTTCGAATAAACCGTATTCGTACCCCAATCGCATTTATGTCGGGTCCCCACACATTCTCGACTGTAACGCCATCTCTGCAAGTATTAGATATTTAATCAGCGTTGGGTGTTGGGTTAGGCAGATTCAATATCGGAACTTTTTCCCTAGATCGTATATATAGCTATACGATCTAGGGAGAATGTTCTGTCGAGCAGACAGCACAGCAGTAAGGGAGCTTGCCAGAGAAACGCAGAAATTAATAATTGTAATATTAATAACACAAGCGCCTATCACCCAATGACCCGGGGCGCTTACTAGCCTCTCTATTGAATAATAAAGTATTGATTATTAACATAAGAGGCTATCACCCAATGCCCCAGGGCACTTATTAGACGCTTTATTAAACGATATATATTATTAATTAATATCCCAACGGTCATCAGGTGATAGGTGCTTGGACTGTTAATTATTATTTTATTATTNTATATATATATATACACATATGTTTTTTTTCTAGTGTTGGCAAATACCAGTGTATGTAAGGCCCCTACGATCAGCTAACTCAGCATAGATGGCGTACTGTAGATAAGAGAAAAATGGCGTTACTGACACACTATTACTATAAGTGACAACAGTATACGCGGGTAATGTGGATTTACTTACGTGACAACATATCTATCTGATACGCTTACGTCAGGAAATCACGGATAGTACATTTTTGTCAATGTGATGCCATTTTTCTCTTAGCTACAGTACGCTATCTATGCTGAGTTTGTGGACCGTGAGAACCTTATCGAACGATAAACAGACTGTTTGGTGTTTGTTTTCTATGCGACCCCACGTGCGAGGGAGGGCAAGTGACACAAAATGTTGATAAAAAATGGCTGTAAGCAATATAGGCAATGGGACCACCTGTATATTTTACACCGTTCCCGCGGCCCAATGGACTCGTTCCGAATGGTGTACTGTCGAGAGTGACGAGCGTAGGGTGTAATCCGCAATCATCACCAGCAGTTACATATGTGAGACGTGACAACGACAACGTTGTGTAACTGCTGGTGATGATTGCGGATTACACCCATAGTCGGGATCTTACCTAGATACGAGAGGAACTTATTGTAAGGAACGTTCCAAATGAAAAAAAAACCAGTCATAGTGTCACAGCCGACCCTAAGAAGATGTGAATATATGAATACGGATATGTGCTACTATTTTTTATTGCGTTCTGCAACATGCAACACGAAAAACTTGATTTCTTGAAATTTTGAAAAAGTTGACCTTACAAATAGTAATTGTGTCCTCAGTAAATAAAAAATGCTCCTCATGACCCGGGGCGTTAACTGGCCACACTGTTAAATAAATACTTATTAATATATATAATAGCACAAACACCTATCACCATATAACCTGGGGCGCTAATTTGCGAATCTAGTAAATAAATAATTATTAATAAATGTGTCAAGCACCTTTTTCCTGATGATCCAGGACACTAATTTACAACACTTTTAAATAATAAAAAGTTGATCGAGAACATATGTAAGCATATCACAATTTTGATTGCCTATCTAGTATGACAAAGATCTATTGAAATGGTGCTCTTGTAATTCCTTGACAATTTATTTTTCAATAGTAGCCAGTAAGCCTCCCGGGTCATGAGGTGATAGGCGCTAGTGTTATTTTAGTAATTATTTATTAAACAGAGTGGCCAGTTAGTGCCCAGGGTCATTGGGTGATAGGCGCTTGTGTTATTTTAATAATTATTTATTTAAAAGAGTAGCCAGAGAACGCCCTGGGTTATTGGGTGATAGGCGCTTGTGTTATTAAAAATTATTTATTTAACAGAGTGGCCAGTAAGCGCCCCGGGTCATTGGGTGATAGGCACTTGTGTTATTAAAAATTATTTATTTAACAGAGTGGCCAGTTAGTGCCCCGGGTCATTGGGTGATAGGCACTTGTGTTATTAATATTACAATTTTTAATTTTCGCGTATGTCTTTGGCAATGCCCCTTCACTGCTGAGCTGTCTGCTCGACGGAACATTCTCTCTAGATCGTGTAGCTATATATAGCCTAACCCAACGCTGTCTGGGGGCGAAATCCATGGCGCTGACTGAGGCTTGCCTTTACAATATTTCTATGGAATAAAAGGAGCAACAGCGGGAATGAGGGGGCACTCACATGGTGTCTTATGTTTTTCAGAACCATGTCTTAAACATAGAGATATTATAGATATAATATCTATCTAGATTAATATCTATAATATTTCTATGGTCATAAATCTTTCAGATTTATGTGTCTTAGGGCTCAGGCACATGAAGCCGCGGAAAGCTTAAAGCGTATCAACAACAAGAATTACAGTATCAGTTGTATAACAATTCGAATTCCTGACGTGGATGAAAAACAAATCATAAGAACTTTGGGCAAATTATGGAAAGTCTATACAACCTATGCAATGACCCAATATCGCAAAGTAAAAGTGAGAAGTGTAATGATGAAGCTGTATGAAATGTATTTACGGCTTTCAAATAAATAGAAAAAAAGAAGTATATACTTGAAAACTTTTTTTGGACATGTACAGGTTAGAATTCACTTGCGTTGAGAACTTCGGAAGATTTTTTTGTTGATAAGACAGCAGATTAGTCAACTCCCCTCTACTTTGAACTTACACGATACGTGAGGTTTTTACGATTTTTTTATGTGACCTCAAATTGGCGTATACCTAACCTTCCTTACTTTTACGCGATACGCGATACACTTTACGCTTTACACGGTTCCATGTACCGGAGCTCTTACATGTATAAATTTTATCGTCTCAAAACTGTCAGACATCCCGTGCGATTTGTAATCATAAACACAATACCGCGCATAAGTGTATCATAGAGTCAAATGATATTTTATTTTTAGATTGTGATTATCATCTCGTTTGTAAAGGACGCCATTAATATCTTATGATTTTCACTTCATTGATAGTATCGCCTACTGAACCACAATTTGCTGAGCACTTATAGGTAAATTACTAAATGAGACGTCCACTAATAGGTAAATTTAAATTAAAAGTCCGACTTAAGGAGGCTCCCTCGTGCAGAAATGACAACCCTTGTCATAGGTCTCGAATTTGCTCGCAAACTTAGGTATAGTTGGCATCACTGGCGCAAGAGAACACAGACTAATCTGTGGAAATACAATGACTTGATCAATTTTTAATAGAATATCTTGAAATTTTCCAGGGTAACACTTACTTATTTAGCTAGGCGTCATTTGAAAATGGAGGTTTTTTTCTACAATACGTGTGCACTCTTATTACGGGAACTGTCGATTTATTCGAGTTTTCAAGTTCTTTCCATCGTGTGTGCGAGCTCCACCATAAGAATACGTGTTAGAAAGCACTACATTAAATTGATATCCCAAAATTTTGCAAGGTAAGCGATATAAATAATTACATCATTGGATTCAGTAGATTTTTAACTATTAAATTAATCTGATCTTGGTTCGGTAACTGTCATGAGGAAGCCTCCTTAAACAAAGAGCTTTGCTTTATCACAATCATCATAATGAATCATCAGTCAAATCAAATCGCGCGGTAAGTCTGACAGTTTTAAGACGATGCAACTTATATACGTAAGGCTGCATGCAGTCACATAGAGCGCACTAGAGCGTGCAGGATAGAATTTTCCTCATAAGCGACTGTGTTAAGTCTATTTCGCCGCGCAATAGTGCTATCCTGCAGCACAATGGACTTAACACCGTTAAGAGGGAAATTAGGCAATTATGCTGCGAGAAGGTCACCTAAACCCTCCTCAAGGAGCATTGCGTAGTGAAAAAGCACATGTAAAAATTCACAGAGGTACTTGCACGAAAAAGTCGTACTGGCCGGGAATCAAACCATGGTCTCCTGCGTGCTAATCCACGACCTAGCCGACTGAGCCACCAACCCCTGTATATGTATATGTACATATATATATATATATATATATATATACACATATGTTTTTTTTCTAGTGTTGGCAAATACCAGTGTATGTAAGGCCCCTACGATCAGCTAACTCAGCATAGATGGCGTACTGTAGATAAGAGAAAAATGGCGTTACTGACACACTATTACTATAAGTGACAACAGTATACGCGGGTAATGTGGATTTACTTACGTGACAACATATCTATCTGATACGCTTACGTCAGGAAATCACGGATAGTACATTTTTGTCAATGTGATGCCATTTTTCTCTTAGCTACAGTACGCTATCTATGCTGAGTTTGTGGACCGTGAGAACCTTATCGAACGATAAACAGACTGTTTGGTGTTTGTTTTCTATGCGACCCCACGTGCGAGGGAGGGCAAGTGACACAAAATGTTGATAAAAAATGGCTGTAAGCAATATAGGCAATGGGACCACCTGTATATTTTACACCGTTCCCGCGGCCCAATGGACTCGTTCCGAATGGTGTACTGTCGAGAGTGACGAGCGTAGGGTGTAATCCGCAATCATCACCAGCAGTTACATATGTGAGACGTGACAACGACAACGTTGTGTAACTGCTGGTGATGATTGCGGATTACACCCATAGTCGGGATCTTACCTAGATACGAGAGGAACTTATTGTAAGGAACGTTCCAAATGAAAAAAAAACCAGTCATAGTGTCACAGCCGACCCTAAGAAGATGTGAATATATGAATACGGATATGTGCTACTATTTTTTATTGCGTTCTGAAACGTGTAACAAAAAAATTTAATTTCTTGAAATTTTGACAAATTTGACCTTACAAATAGTAATTGTGTCCTCAGTAAATAAAAAATGCTAAATTGCATTTCTTATTGATAAAAAATTTTTATTAATGTAGAAAAAGTATTAAAAAAAAATCGTACTAAAAAATATTTACGTGATTGTTTATTGCAAAGCGTGTTGTTCATTATCCTGTACAATAGTATAACAATTGGTTTGTGCTAACTAT